TGACAATTATTTGACACCTTCCTATTCACACAGTGTAATTAATGGAAAGTAGAATAAGGAAATTAAGTTGTCATAATTAAAGATCAGAGGAAACGCTACTCAGTCCTCTAAGTGAGACTTTAAATTTAGATTATTAGAACTGACTGCTGGTCTTTTGTCTGGGAAATTTGTTTTGCTCAGTAGTTTTGCATCCATTCAAATGAATGTTGTTGTTGCTTTTATTTTCCTAATACAGGAAGTAGTAACTCCCATTATTCTATTAAGATGTTTCCTTTCCAAGACGCTTTTGCAAGCTGGGTCTGCTTATTTCCTCTGCCATGATGGTCTTACATATTGTGTGTGTGCTTTCCAAAGCCATTTAAGCCTTGATGGAAACTATTAGCATGTTGGGGCAGCCCGAACAGAGCAAGTTACTTAGTCTTAGAACATTCTTTCCTCTGCAAAGAAGCTTTCTGTCTTGTATGATGTTGTGTGCTGCTAATACCAGTGATTTTCACAAGCGGTTTTAATGATGGACTGAGGGGGTTGGGGGTTTAGAGACAATGCTTTGGAGTCCTCATTTCTGGACGTGAATTCAGACGTGGCTTCTTCAGCCAGCATTTGGAAACAGTTCCATCGGATGCCGCCCCATCTGCATGCAGCCTGCCACACCTCTTTCCCTCACGAGGCCTGAGCAGGTGTTCATGTCACATGAAAAATGCTGTCACCCCTGACTTCCACGAATGCTGTTGAGTTAAATGTTTTCAGCTGAGCGGTGGACTTCAAACTGATCTGACAATTCACCTCAACCCTCTCGCCCAGGTTGAGGCTTTGTAGTCAAACTAGGGAGAGGATTCATGCGCCCTACAAATCTAACAGTCACACCCAGGAACTAATTTGCGGGGAGAGAAAGGGACCGTGATCTGATCTGTCCTCCATGATCTTTCCGAGTTCCCTAACTCAGCCTCTTTATATCTTCAATGTGTACCATCTTTAGAGAGAAACAAGTTCCATATGTGGTGTTACTTTATTCCTTGCTCTAGAGAAGAGCATTTAGCTTAGCTTGATCTAAAAACTCCCTCAAGAGATGCCCTTTGAAAATGTTCTAAAATTAAACATTTTGACAGAAAAATGGAAATTATAAAAAATGATAGATGATTTGCAAAATATCAAATTTTAAAACAAACTTTTAAAACAAGTACTTCTTCTGTATTAAATACTTCCCGATATATTCTCTGCTTTTACTATAATAACAATAAATATTTCCATTAATAAATACTAGTATTGTGAAGACTTTAAAAAGAGAAAATGTTCTAAAATTGATTATGGTGACCATTGTACAATTTTGTGAACATGCTATACATTATTCACTTATACACCTTAAAAATATCCAAATTCTGGGGTTTGTGATCTATATTTTGGTTAAGCTGACGTGGGCGCACAAAAGAGTCCTTGGTTCAAAATTCTAATATTTAATAAACAAGCTCACATGCTCATAATAATTTTGCTTGTGGGTTTATAAACCTTTCATATTATTCCCCTGGGTCTTTACATATCCTAGCTAAAGAGAACTAATTTTTTTTTTCATTTAACCTTTTGCACATTAATTAATCAACCAACAAGTATATATTTAGCACCTCTCTCAAACTTCAGAAGCCAAATTGTTATAGGGACAATGGTGAGTAGGAGGAGAGGCACAATTGTCACAGGAATTATTAATAATAAATTAAAGTAGCAATTGGAACTGCAGCCATTCTGTTGGGGAAGCACAATAGTGTCTTAACTGTGATTGTGGTGACAGGGAGCCAACAATTGAGTCCCTGCTAATGGCCCAACAGGGGAAGGGGTTGAAAAGAAGGAATGAGTGGTTTACATTACAAAGGGATTGTCTGAGAGCTGCTCAAGTGTGGTCAGGAGGGGAGGTCAGGCTAGAGACAGAAGGGATGATAACCGTGGAGCTGTCAAGGGCATCTCAGGGGTTTAAGCAAGGGCTGTGGCAGCTCGAAGCAGCCGGCTGAGGCAGACATGTCCTGGCCCTGCCTAGCGTTGATTGATAAAAAGGAAACACAATGAGAAGATAATTGAGCAAACCAGGAGGCCTGGGCAAGTGTCACAGAATCTGAAAGTGAGTCCTGGGAGGCATCAGAACCTTGGCTGAAAATATTCCTGGCTTCACTGTGACCAGAGTTGGACCATTCTGTGGGGAATAAAACTGCTGTAAAGGGTGAATGTTTGTGTGAATAAAATGCTGTGATTGGCAGATCTATTGAAAAGAGCGCGTCCTTGACGTCTGATCAACTCCTGCCACTGCACATTTCCAGAATGTGTGTGTGTGTGTGTGTGTGTGTGTGTGCGCGCGCGCGCGCACACACACACACACCCCACTTTTACCAGTTGCTGGAGTAGATAAAAAAATCATGACCGTCTAGACTGAAGTTCATACTCACAGTCTTATTTGTTCCAACACTGTCCTTTGTAGCATTTTTCCCTCTGGTCCAGGCTGCAGCAAAGGATCATGGGTTGCATTTAGTTATTCTTTATAGAGAGACACATGGAGCAGAAGAATATGATGAAACGAATGGGGCAAATGTTAAATATTGATGACTCTGAGTAAAGGAATGTCTCGCTGTGTGACCCTGCCGGCCTCTTCATCCTGGTCTCATAACACTTGTACCCTTGCCAACTACATCACAACCCCAGAGGCAGCCTTTTTGTTCCTTAAACAAGCGAAAGCCATTCCCACCTTTGGACCTTTGCATTGGGGGGCCCTCTCTTATCCCTGAGCTGCACAGGGATTGAGCTCTCAGTTGAAATGTCTCTTCCAAGAGAGAACGACCCTGCTCCCTGAAGTAATGATCCAGTCACTTTCTAGTCCTCTCTTTTAATTATCTGCCTACGCCTATTACTAGCTGAGAATTTTGTCTTCACTAGTGCATCCAGAACAGCACCTGGCACTTGGTAGGTGCTCACCAACCAGCTGTTGAATGGATGTGCTAATTTAAGTGTCCAGAAGGAGGGCATCATTAAAAATGATAGTGATGCCTTATAGATGGGCATTATGCAAGAAAATGCTTCAGGACTCCAATCAGAGGACAAATGCTCAGAAAACCTTGATCCTATGTTACAATATAGGTGAATAAATGCAGAGAGATATAATCATCTTACATTCTCCACTATAATAATCGTTATTTATTATGAATACTTACACTGATTATTTTGGTTAAGAGGACCTCTACTCTTCTACAAAATATATAGATAACAATGATTCCAATATCTAAGTAGGATGAGTACAAAAAAAAAAAAAAACAAAGGAAATGTCTAAAAAATAACAACTCATCATTTTAAAGGAATGAAATATGAGTAATTTTTATTTTCTGTATTTTTCAAACTTTTTGCATATGGATTTTATTATTTTTCTAATTTAAAAAAATATTTTAAGAGTAAACGATACAAGATAGATACGGTCAGGTATTAATAGGACACTAAATGCAGATTGGAATCAGAAGGACTCTTGAATTTGGCATGCTTAGTGAAGCTTTATGGAAAATAGTAGTCATCGATCTGGRCTTTGAAAAGACTCATAGGACTTTTGAGGGAGGAGACCCGAAGAGGAACAAAAATAGTAAGGGAGGAAACCAGCCGACTSTGGTGACAGGAGGAGACAGGACTAATCAAATGGAAAGCTGGAATTGGGTTGGAGAGTGTGGATAGTGGGGTTCCAGCTGAGAGAGGAAGATAGGGTCACATTTTAGAAGATCTTTAAAATCAGGTAGAGATTTTTAGATTAGAAGTAAAAATAAATTAGGAACTATTGTAAGTTCTTGCAGATAAGGGTTAACAGGAAGGCTTGAGTGTTTGGGGAAAATTTCTCTGTGCAGGGCATAAAACAGAGCTGGCAGTTAGCAGGATATAGCACCAACATCCATCTGGTGTCCATGGCAGACTCCAGAATCAGTCACAGCTCTGCTCTGCCTGGACACAGCCTTAGAAGCCTCTTCACCCAGGCTTCCTGTCAGCCATTACTAATTCATCCGCATTGGCTGTGAAACTTGCCTGAACCTTCTGTGATTGTCACACTGGAGATGTGAACCATAGGAAGGAGAAAAACAAGAGAGATGAAGGCCCAAAGAATTAAGACATTATATTCTAGGAATGTAAGAAGGCTAAGCATCTCGAGATGTTTCTTTTGTATTCATAGGTCTGTATTTTAATTAGGGCCAGAAATAGAGATCTTTTTGTATAAGTCATTACTCCGTTGTTAAAGAAATGTTTTGCTTTTTCTTTCCCACTCCTTTGTTACTAGTATACAATCTGTGGGCCCTTGCTTTAAAAAAAAAAAAAAAAAAAAAAAGAATCGTTCCTTAAATATTTAATGAACCTTGAAAACAGTAACTTTGACAAATGATGTGAAACAAAAAAAAAGACTCACCCATTTAATCTACAAAGATTTGGGCCCACCTGCTCTGTCCATTTGTGGGAGTTAAGTTGTCAGAATATGTTTAGACACTATTTGGGGGTTTTTTAAAAAAAGGTTTTGTTTTCTCTATTTTTAACACAGTTTTTAGATTACAAAATAGCAAACAAAATTAAAAATAAAATGAAGTTGTCTCATCTTTGGTGGCAGTGGTAGAGGAAGTTTCGACTCTGTCAGTGTGTGGGCTGAAGGAGAACAGAATGTTTATCTTAGCTGCATGTSGAAGTTGGAAAATAAAGCTAGCAATAGCCAAAAGGCCTTCTTTTGAATAACTTATCACAAAAGGGAAAACATGAATCTAGTGGCAAATCAACTCTCCTTTAAAATTGCTTGCATTCGGCCTGGAAATATTGTTACTTTGCCATATAAAATTTCATTTCTGACCACTTGATTGGTTCATGGTAACCTCTCAGTACCTTGATTCAAATGTTGGGTCTCAGGGACCAATGGCAATTGGTTTTTATTGATGACTTTTGGTTCTTTTTTCTTTTTTCCTTTCTTCTTTTTTCTTCCCCCTCTTTTTCTTTATCTATGGCTTGTGATCCAGAGCTTACAAGACCCTATGAAAAAACTAGTTGAGAAAGAAGAAAAGAAGAAGATGGCCCAGCAGGAAAGCACAGAAGCAGCAGAGCAGGAGCCGAGTCAGTAAGTCAAGTCAGCCCTCTGTCTCCTGAGGTCTTTCTTCCCACGGGTGTGGGCGACACAATCTTGTCCACACAGTCCTGACGGGGTCTCAGCCATGTAGCTTCCTCACTTCTTTACCTTGAGGACAAGCTCCCTCAGCCCAAGTTCCTGCTGGACCTGCCTCACTTGTCCCATTTCTGGGGTCCTCAGAAGGGGCACACTTGTAAGGAGWTGATTGGGACAAGAAAGAGCAAATGTCCACATACTGTCTGGCTCCCTGTCTTGTGGCCTCAGCCTCAGCTTCATGTTCTTTCTGGCTTCTGTACCCTATCTGGTCCCATGGTCACCACTGTTCACAAGATGCTGTGATGGGGACCCCCCCACACACACTGCCTGGGGCCCCGATGGCTTTTCTCCCATTGAAGCTGATGATGTAGGAKATTGCCTTAGGAATGCACATAGCATCGCCCTACAAAAGTGTTAGGTTGTGACATTTTGTTTTCACTGCTCAAACTTTCAGTTTTCTCCTCTGTGAAGCGGAGAGCAGCTTCCTGTGCAGGAAGTGAGGGCCCATCCCATCTATTACCTCTTCACAATCAAGGCGCCGCCTGTTGTTACAAATACCCAGATGAACTTTTCAACATAGGTGGCACACCTATCCCACACAGTGAGGAGGTTTAGATGTGACTGATCCCACACAGTGAGGAGGTTTAGATGTGACTCCATGTCATTTTCTATGGAGATATAGTAGCCTGCAGGAATGTAGTTAATCTCTGAACTGGCTGACCCAGGAAAGCGAAGTAGATGACATTGCCTCTACCCACTATTCCTTACACACACACACACACACACACACGATTTAGGTGACAACTTTATGGCAAAATGGGATTATATTTTTTACTCCATCTCTGAATATAATTTCAAACATATTTTTGTATCCTATAGAATTATTTGCTGTCCTTGTAAAAAAAAAWGGAAAAAAAATTGCTGCCAATATTAGCTCTTTTTAATTTCAAAACAAATACTAGAAAATTTCTGAGGTGCAAAACAAAGACAAATTTCAATTTTTCATCATCAAACAGATGTAGAATATGATCTAGATCTAGTCCAATTCACATTTTAGGGGAAACCTATTCCTGGTAAGGGTAATAATGGTAGCTACTATTTGGTGAGCACCTACTACATGCTAGGCACAGTGCCAACTGCTTTATTTGTTATTCATTCTCATACTAATCCTCCAGGTAGGCCTTTCCCCGGTATGTTTAGGAGGGAGGTGAGGCTGAAAGAGGCTAAGGGACTGCCCTCTGCCCCTTGTGAAGTAAAAGACAGAGCCCAGAGCAAGTCTCAGCACTTTCCTTTATCCATATAAGTTAATGCAATAAAAATAAAGCACTAGCCATTATTCAGAATAGAACTACTACCTAGGATTTTTTTTATTCATTTTAATTAATTTCAGGTTTCTCAAAGATGATTGGAAATTTAATAAKAATTTTTTTTCAGAAATAGCAGGTAAAAGTGAACCACAGTGCTAAGAGGATCATTTGGAGGAACCAAAATGGTCTCAGGACTGTAACCTGTCTGTCCTTAAAGACACTGGAAGAGTTTGAGTAGTTGCCTGTCCACCTGGATTTAGAGTGGTGCTGTTGTGAGCCTTCTGTGGTCTGGCTCATCTCCTGAGGTGACCTCTTCATAGCACCAGGAATCAGAATAAACCACTGCTGGGCCATCAGTTTTTTTGTTTGTTTGTTTTTGTTTTTTTTACTGTGTTTTAAAAGTAATAATTGTATGTATCTCTCTTAGTCATCCCTAATTACCCATCTAGATATTTACAGAAAATGTGCCTTATTAGGAAACCAAACTCATAAATTAAGATGTTACAGAATGGAAAACAAAGCCAGCAAAATTTATTTCTCCTTTAGAAAATATATAGCATATAAATGACTCTGTGTGTGTGGGGGGTGGGGGTTATAATTGAGGTAAAAGATATTGTACTGAAAATCTGGCTGTATCATAACTATAATATTTGCCAGACTTGATGACTGAAAAAAAACAACAACTTTTTATTTTTAAATTTTAAGGTTAATTTCATTAGAGGATGAAAACCAACACAAGGAATCCTGCAGCTTTAAGAGTAAGTATTGATTTTCATTTAGAATTGCTTCTGAAACACTACCTAATGCTCAACTGCCAACTCATTTTCTTTTTGGGGGAACTCCCTCTAGGCCTTTCTTCATTTCCAATTGAGAAAAGACTATATGGATTTGCTTCCTGCCATTTCAGGATTTTTTTTTTTTTTTTTTTGGTGGGGGAATGCTTGGGATTGAACCCAGGGGTACTTTACCACTGAGTTACGTTCCCCAGTCCTTCTTATTTATTTTGAGACAGGACCTGGCTAAGTTACTGAGGCTGGCCTTGAACTTGTCATCCTCCCATCTCAGCTGCCTGAGTTGCTAGGCTTATAGGCCTGTGCCATGGCACCCAGTGCAGTTTCAGTTTTAAATGTTTAAATATCAACGGTGTCAATCAACCCCATGGCATTACTGAGAGACAGTGTATATTTTGAACCTGAAAATAGTATCCTTGGTCTCTCCAACAGCAGCCCTTCTGAGAAGTAACCACAAAGGGGCCTAGCAGAAAGCTCTGTCTTTCCATAGAAGACAATATTGCCTTTGCTTGTTCAAACTGTCGTGTGGGTGCAGAGATAGTTTTAGCAGGGTCACATTACTACATGGGGAGGGTTTGTATGTGGGTGTTGGCCATTATTAGGGACAGATAGGGAGAGCCCCGACTCTGCTCTGTTAGGCAGGTCTTCAGGCTGCCTGTTGTGAGTGGCACCAGCTCCCTTGGGTTAGGGAACAGGGTCAGAGCTTTGGGAGGTGACACCATGAACAGAAAAAAGCCTCCAGCTTCTTCTGTCTCCTACATTTCTGCCAGCCTTCGTTGGCTCTTCACCTCATGAAGGCGTAGAAGGGAAAATCACAGTAGAACTAAGGTGATATAAGTCTGAGCCTTAAAACAAGGACTCAAAAGCCTCAGAGCTACAGGGGAAGGTTGTACAAGTTTTATGAAGAGAACTGAAACCACCGGATCCTGTGCTATGGCAGCCTATCCAGGAGGTGGCAAAGAAGATTCTAGAACTTTCCCTCTGTTTCATTCTTCTCCTTCTTCCTCTCTTTTCTCTCTGTCTTTCTTCAACTTTTCCAATCACTTGCCTCAACTATATTTTTCTTCCCCCACTTCACACCTTTATTTGCTTGTCTCCTATCTGCCCTTCAACAGATTAAAAAAAAAAAGAAAGAAAGAAAAATATCAAAAAACAAAGGCAGCCCACTGTTGGTCTCTAGTGCCTGGCTTCCTGTCATCTGCTCGTGCGTGTGAGCCTTCACGTACTCAGAACTCACAGACTGCTTTGTGTGTGTGGCAGCTGTGTACAGGGATCTGCCTCTGTGCCAGGCACAGCACTGGGCTCCAGGCAGACCGTGGTGTACCACACATAATCAGGCCCCTCCAGGATGGGGCTTACAGTCAAAAGGGGAAGCAGATGGTAGCCTAATAATCACACAACCAGGCAACTACAACTTTGATAAGAGCTACAAAGGAAAACTGCAGGGCTCTGGGCACATAACAAAGTTGCCTCACCTATTTGAGGGGATCAGGGACACACCAAAGCCAACTACGATTGCAAGGCTTGTCAAAGCAAAAGAAACAGCCCAGGCAAAGGCTATGCTCCAGGAAGGATCACGCAAAGGTCAGAAGAATGATATTCTAGACTCTGAGAGGGGGCAGCAAATGGTGGAGAGCTGGGCCTGACCTCCCTGGCCATGGAAGGGCTCTCTGTCTGTATCGATCTAAGCTTTCCAGCCTCAGTGACCCTCAGTGGACCTACAGCATGCATTATTAATGTTGTGGGTCATAGAATAGGATAAACTTAGTTCTGTGGTAAACTGTAACTCCAGTTTATTATATTTGTATGCAAGTTAAAAATCTATACAAATTATGTATTCATACAATATGTGATTATACATATTGTAAGAATATAGAATATGCAAATATAGAATATGCAAATCTTCTTATTCCTTGTACAGTATAATTGCATGTGGTATTTGCATAATATTTTGAGACTGCAAATGTCTGTCACCTTGTTTATATATACACAGGATGGAATTCATTATAATGAAGTGGCATCTGCCTTGTATTTTGTGAGCTGCGGAAAGTCTAATGAACATATGGGCAAACTGAGTTCTAAGGTGGTTCTATTACATGTGCACGGGCACACACATACACACTATTTATTGTTTAGAGCAGTTTTTGGTTCACAGCAAAATTGAACACAAAGTACAGAGATTTCCCATTTGCCCCTGTCCCCACATAAGCAGAGCTTCTCCAACTGTCGAAGTCCTACACCAAAGAAGTGTTTGTTATAATCAATAACTTCACATTGTTTTACATTTTATGGATATTAAAAACATAAAAGGACATGTATCTACCTTTACAGTATTATACAAAATATTGTCACTGCCCTAAAAATCCAATGTTCCACCCATTCATCTCACCCTCTGCCACGCTCTTGGCAACCACTGACCTTTTTAGTGACTCCATGTTTTGACTTTTCCAGAATGTCATATTGTGGAACTTACACAGTGTGCAGCCTTTTCAAATGGGCTTCTTTCACTTAACGATCTGCCTTTTTATCTTATCCAGGCCCATGTGGCCAAAGTTCATTGGCAACATCAAGTAACAGCCAGTTAACTTAAGTCACACATTTGTCCACGGAAGGAGAATTGTTAGGCCTGTGTCATATCATTTTGAGGGTTATCCACTAAACAAAGCAGAGGTTTAGGATTAATTCTACATTCATTGAGAGCCAACAACTGAAATAAAACATAATCTGAGGACCCCTGTTTCTGCATGAGTGAGTTTATGGGTGCTATTTCTTCCTGAAGCTGTGCATTTGCCAATACTGCTGTCGTCCATGCATGCACGCAACATTCTGAGTTGGTGATGACCAGTTGCATATGTTTGCTTACAGGTGAAGAAGGAAAAAGTATTTTATCTGCCTTAGACAAAAGCTCCACACATAATGCATGTTCAGGTAATCTAGATTAAGGAAAATGTAATCATTTTACTCAGATTCCTTATAAAATGACACTAACTCATAATTTTTCTTTCCCCTCCTCTGAAGGACCTCTGGATGAATTATTAGACATGAAGCCTGAGGAAGGTGGTAAGATTTATGCAGTTCTTTGAGGCTGTGATTTGTTTAAGTTTTAGTTCCTTTTTTATATGCAAGAAAATACAATATTTATCTTTTTATGCACTCCAAAGCATAAATTTTTAGGTGACAGTCTTTAAATATGCCCAAATACATATTAGTTTGTGCTGAGCTGCCATTGTTACTATAGTCAATTTCATAATGTTCAAACTACTAAAGCTAAAAGTTATATCAAAAATCACATACTGTCAGAGAAAACAGTGGCTATGTGGATATGGATTGTGGTTCTACCATAAATGGCCTGTGTGGCCTCAAATAATTTGCTTCATATTTAAACTCTTTACTAAGCCTCAGTTGTTCTCATTTGTAAATGGAACTGATAGCAACAATCTCGCTAGATTACTGTCAGGATTGGAGCTCAGTTTTGTGAAGGGGTAGTTCATGGTCACTGATACAGAACACTCTTGATGTTGAAACAGTGGGACGAGGGGTTTTGTATAGGGCTTTGCTTTGCTGCCTTTCCATTGAAACCTCCAATGAACACAGGAGCAAACTGAGTTTTAAGGCTGTTCTAGTTCATGTGCACACACATGCATGCATGCACAGTTTTTGATTCCCAGCAAAATCGGACACAAAGTACAGAGATTTCCCAAGTGCCCCTGCCCCCACTTAAGCATAGCCTCTCCCACTTTCAACTTCCTGCCCTGGAGTGTGTATTTGTTATGATCAGTGAACCCACATTGACATGTCTTTATCACCCAAAGTCCACAGGTTGCATAGGGTTCACTCTTGCTGAAATACATTTTACAGATATTAAAAACATCAATGGACACATATCTACCATTATAATATTATAGAAAACATTTTCACTACCATAAAAAAATGTAGAGGGAGAGTTTGCCTAGCTAAGTCTGACTCCCAGGTTGACCAGCCTTAAAATCCCTTACTGTATAAATCCTCAGGAGAGAATGTAGAACCATGGATTCAGATGTGACTCTCCAAGGCCGAGTGATCCCACAAAATTGAGTGTGCTTAGTTTGATCATAGCCTTTGTTTTCCATCCTACCAAGGGTTTCCTTTTAATGATTGACCCAGGTTCTAAAATATTCCTGAGATTCGGAGTCAAACATCAGAGCATCTTTGTCTTGGTGACTGGGACATAGTCTGCCCTGGTCATGCAGGTTTTTTACAGGGTTGAAATAGGCCAGAGTCATCCAGTGGGCCTCAGTTAACTGGGGTAGATGACTCAACTCACTCTGAGCTTGATGTGGATTTAATTCACAAAGTGTGAGAGGAAGAAAGTCTCTGGGAAACAGAGGACATTGATGAAAGATTTTTCAAAGGTGAAAAGCCAGGCTGGGGTTGGGGCTCAGCGGTAGAGCGCTCGCCTAGCACATGCGAGGCACTAGGTTCGATCCTCAGCACCACCAAAAATAAAATAAAGGTATTGTGTCCAACCACAACTGAAAAACAAAAATATTTTTTAAAAAAGGTGAAAAGCCACTATAGCTCTGGTGTTATGTTTCCAGGGCTTGGTGTGCATAAACCTGAGAGCAGAAGTCTGTTTTCTTATTATCTTACTGCAGGCAACATATTGTGCAATATTTTTTGAATGTCTGTGCATATTTAATCAATATGACTAGTCATTTGTAAATGCTGATATTATATCATGTAATGAAATTAATAGGTAAAGAGTGCAGATTACCATACATGCTTCCGTGTTTGTAAATTTTCCTCTTCTTGGCTTAAAAGTAGAATATTTTGGTGGAATGAAGGTGTCTTTTACAAGTTGTTATTATTATTATTTTTTGGACAGGGATATATTTTAACCTTACCAAAATGATATAAAGAGAACAGCAAGCTCTAGATACCCACCACCCAGTTTCACTTAACAAATGTATTTATAATCACACATACACTTCAGCTTGTTTTGATAGACTGACATTCCTCCCAATCTCAACATTTTCTTTATGTCATTTGTTCTTTGACTTTATTCTTACCCTATATAAATTTGTTATTTTAATAGATTAAGTTTTTGAATAGGTAGCATATTCACATTAAGATTAAAATGAAAATAATAATAAAAATGGTATTAAAAACACTTGCTCCCATTCCTATTCCTCACCCCATCCCCATTCCAATACTCCCAACCCTGGCACATCCTGCCAGTGTTTTCTGTACTCAGACACAGTAATCATGATGCTACATCCTCATATTTTCCCCTTTCTTAGAAAAATTGGTTCTTGGCTTTAGGTTTTGGATTTTTTTAGAAAACTTGATAGTAATTCTATAACCCTAACCCACTATCCAGCATTTCTTCATAGAATTAAATCAAAATGTTTCTGCCTGAGATATATACTTACTTTTGTAAGTCTCTCTGTGTGTGCCAAGAGAGATCGCAGTAAGCTGGGTATCCTCCTACTCAAAACAGCCTCCAAACCTCATTCGTTTACAGTTACCATGTTTGTTAGTTTTGTAGAATAGAAACTCATATCCTTTTGGGGGACAAACAGTGTAACTCTAAAGATGCAAATACAAACATGCTCTTCCGTAACATGTGTACTTGTTCTCAGGCAGAAATACTGATTTGCAAGTCTTCTAAATTGAACAAAGTGTCACATAACTCCTGCTTCCCCTTTGTCACGCCGGCCCACAAGGCCCTTCTCTAGGCATGAGTTATACGTCCCCACTGTCTTTTCTTGTTGCCAACCCATAGGGTGGCATCAGCTTACATATTAATGTGACCACTGGTATAAGTATCTTCTCTCAGTGTTCAGAGAACCTGTGGTGGCCAAAGAGAAAAATACTCATTAATTTGTTGACTTCCACATGTGTGCCCTGTGAAACGCTGCCTGAAGACCCAAACTCTGAATTGAAATACTGATTATAATATGCAAGATATTAAATAGTCAAGAGATAAAAAGAGCTTAATCCAGGAATGGCTGGTTTTATAGGACTCCAGGCTACAAGCTCTAGCACCCTGCTGCTTTGGGGCCGGTTCACTCCCAGTGGTAATTCTGCCAGACATAATGGCTAATCTGGGGTACAGTGTTATCAAAAAGCAGACTGCTTATGACAACAACAACGACTCTCAAAGCGCCACTACCCAGAAAATTACTGTAAGTTGGTGTCCTAATGAAATTTGCTTTCTCCTACTAAATGGTAATGTAATAGGGAAACCATTATTTGACCACAGTTCCTAAAAACGTTTTAAATGAAGAAGAAACTTAGTGACATTTTTGAGATACTTGAAAGTGGCTCTGAAATCACTTTGTGTAATACACGTGAAAATCAGCTCAATTCAGGAATTATAACATGTAGAAGTATTGGTGTTCCTCAAAGTTTGGCCAAGAGAAATAACGAGCATGTAAATGAACAGTATATATATATATATATATATATATATATATATATATATATATATTTTTTTTTTTTTTTTTTTTTTTAAAGACAAGATTTGGATAAATTCAGTTCACCTAAACCTTATCACTTGACCTTCCCTAAAAGGTCCCTCTCTAGGACAAGACTTACCTACTCCATTTAAAACACAATTTAATTGTTCATGTTGGAATAACATATCTGTATTCTGTTACTCCCTTGGTTACTACTTGGGATTCTAAACTCTGGTCACCTATCAGAACCACAGTTCATTCAGTCTCTACCAGAGGTCTGGGTGAGAACCTTTGACCTGTAGTAATCATACCGGTTTCTCTCTCAGCACTTTGCTTCTCCTGAGTCACTTAGAATTGTCTCGTGCAGCCTGCGTATAGTCAGACTAGGGACCTGATTGCTTCCTCACATGCAATAAAGCAAGTACTAAGCTACTAAGCTCTTTATCTTTCCTCATACACTTGTCCTCCTTCCTGCCTCCCTCCGTCTGTATTCTGGGGTGTTCTGCTGGTTTTGTCCTTTCATGAATAATGACATACTTTAGGTTTGGAGGTTTTTGGTTTTTTTTTTTTTTTTTTGAGGTGTTGGTGATGAAACCCAGGGTCTTGCACACACTAGGCAAGTGCTCTATGACTAAGCTATGTCCCCAGCTCAATAATGATAGACTTTTACAATCAAATGCTGTTTGTACTTAATAACCACGTAGGCAATAGTGTTCTACATAAATTTATCACTATCAAGATTCTGTAAAGACTCATCCTAGCCCCACGTGTCTTGTTTTTCACTGAGACTTCTGGGTTGCTAAGATCTAAGACTAAAAATGGAGGAATAGATTGAGGGATCAGAACAAGAACGTTTTTAGTGCCTATTCAGGCCTAGCACTATGAGACTGTTGTTTCTTTTCTTTTTATTTTTTAGAGTTGGTAAGGATGGTTCCCTCTCTCCCCATACCTGTTCTTATAATCTGTGTTGTTGTTGGTTTTTTTTTTTTTTAAGCCAGAAGTGACTTTCTAGAAGCAGCAGTCTAGAATTCCAAATGAGCACAGTTTGTTACCAGAGTCTTGTGTAATGAAGAATATTTTTCTGGTTAGACATTTTTTGTAAGGTGGTTTCCTACCCATCTTCCCCCATTCTCTTTTGGGCGATGTGAGGATGGTGTTGGTGTTTGGGGTTTTCATCGGCACTGCAAGCATGTGGCCTTTAAGATTAGTCATCAGGTTGAGAGTGGGGGCCAGGGAGAAACCCAGAGAAGTGACTCTTCCTGTTTCACACACAGATGAAGGTAAAATAAGTGACATTTATCTGTTTGTTTTCCTAGGCTATCGTTTTCAGTCTGTGTTGCTATGTTTCCATCTTCTGTTTTCCTAATGTATGCTGAGGTCATGAAACTCAGTATGACTTCAAAAATAACACCTGTACCAGCTGTCACCGGTTTCCCACACTGAACTCGAGAGCTGCCTCTGTATTTGAGTTCTCAAGAAATAGAGCCCATTGGTTCGGGACCGGTTCTCCTGGGGAATGTTTTCCCAGGGCCTGGGGCTCTTACTTCTGAACGTGGGCCATGTGTGCTGCGGGCCTGATGCGTGGGTCTGCCAGCGCTGTCCTGCCCCAGTGCCTGCATGGTACCCAGCTGCCAGCAGAGTCCTCTGACCTTTGAAATTCTCAGCACTTTACAAAAGCTTGGCAAAAGCTTCTTAGTAGTTTTTGTATGAGATACTAAATGGGTTTTTAAACAAAAGAAAGATACCACAGTGAGAAAATTGACCTTTAAGTCTGGGGTCCATGGTTAGATTATCAGTAACATTATGTGACCTTCAGCAGGTCATCTAACCTGGGTGTCTTCTTCCTCATTTGTAAAATGAGTTAAAGGAAATGGTTTTTAAGGTCCCTTTTGGATGCAAGAAAAAAAAAGAGAGAGAGAGAAGGAGAACAGGAAGGGGAAGGAGAAGAAAAATAGAAGAAGGAGAAGGAGGAAGAAGAGGAGGAGAAAGAGGAGGAAAAAAGAAAATATGATTCTTATTGGGAGAAAACATCAGGTCTCACACAGGAAAGCAGGAAAGTGCATTTGAGCAATGGTAAGCAGACTTTTGCCAAATTGGGCTTCCCAGGAGAATGTTGATACACAGCTGAAAGAGTTTTATTAGAGCTTGACTGTGGAGGTCCTGAATGCCAGTATTGGGAGTCAAAAGGAGCCACTGAAGGTTTTTGAATGAGGGAGTAATCTTACAGTCCTATTGAGCAATGGTGCACAGTAGGAGGCTGCCTCATGGGGCACCAGAAGCCCCTCCAGTGGGCAAAGCAGAAGGTCCCTCTGCCCCAATTTGTCATCAAAATTGAAGGAAGAACATGGAATCAGAGCAGAGATTTGGAGATTTTTTAAGATGAGTTTGGAACCATGAAAATAGATAAGATCTCTGATAGAATTGTAGGGAAGGGAGGTGATGGTTTAGGATGAAGGCTAAGGGCTACCAGGGTAGGAAGAGGCAGCAGAGAAGACTGCCCAAGAGGGCCACCGCACTGGGACTCCCAGGAGATGATCACATTTCCAGAGCAAGGCAGCACTGCAAAATGCTAGAGGTCTCAAGGCCTGAAAAACGGAGTTGGGTGGATTGGCCTTTAGGATCTCCCCAGTAACCTTCCAGAGAGTCACTTCAGTGTAAGCATGGGGATGGGAACTTAATTGCCAGCAGCTGAAAAAAATAAATAGAGACACAGTAGAATAAGTGACCATGGAAATGAGAACAGCAAGGATAGAGGTGGCCGACAGCAATATCAAGGCAAATATTGATTATCACTGGCCAGAGGAAAGAAGCCCTGGAGAAGGAAAGGCTAAAGCTACCGAAGTAGCATATTGGTAGGAGCGGGGGAAGCTTCCGGAAGGAGAGGGGGGGAGGGCATGGAGAGGGCTAATTTCAGAAGGGCAGAGAGAATGCACAGAGGGTCACAGAGTTGGAGACAGAGAGGTGAGCCTGTGTGTGCGTCATGTCTGTCGGCTTTTATTTGTACAGTAACGTCTGCGGCTAGGTCATCAGATAGGAAAGCAAACATGGAGAGTGGGAGTCTGCACCAGAGAGAAGGGGGCTCGGAGTGGCATCTGCGGGGCCGGCACCTGGGTGTGGCACGACCTTTGCTTGTCTACAAGACAAAAGCAGGCTGAGACACCACCCAGGAGCAATCCCTGCTTGTCTCCATGGGCGGAAGCTCTGACCCCAGTCGTGCGGCTCTCTCCAGGGCTTCTCTCCCAGAGCTTATCATATCTCTCTGTGTGTCTTCATTTTCTCTCAGTTGAGTTGAATTAATTTCAGAGAAAATGATAGCATGATAGCCTAATGACTGATGTTATTTCTCAAGTCTTGACTTGTCCAGTTACAGACCTAAACCTGTCCTTTTCTACTTGCAATTAAGTTTTTCTTAGGAGTTATATGTAGCAATTTCAGGCATCTTAATTATCAGTGCAATAATTGGGAGGTTTCCATGTTTTATGGTTCAAGTCAGTGCCAGTTTCATTGCTTTCAGCTAAGTAATAAGTTCTCTTAAAAGAGAAAATGTTCACTGGGCAGCCGCCTTTAACTATTCAAGAGCCAGGATGCTATATCAGAGGGCAATTCCAGGACTGGCCACTAGTGGTGTCATCCTGACAAAGGGGGGTCTTTTCCTCATTTCTGTGACTAAAGTGTTTGAGTTGGATGAGACAGAGTATTAATCAGGAATTGTTTGGTTGCAAGAATAGAAACCCTTCTTGAAATAGGTTAGGTTGAGAATTTTTCTTTAAAAAAAAAAGAATATATTAGTTTGTGTAACTGGGGACCCATAGTGTAGTAGATTGTCTTCAAGTAAGACTGGATCCAGGGCCTAAAGCTGTCAAGTTTCTCTTCCCAACTCTTTAGGTTGTTTCCTTCTCTGTATTGGCTTTACTACTATCAGAAGCCTCAAGTCTGCATCTTTGAATTCTGGAATCCCAGAGCAAGAGAGATAAACCCTCCTCCATCCAATTCCCATATGCCAAACTCAGGGAAGCCTCCTGGCCTGTGCCCTGAGCCAGTCACAGTGGCCTGAGCARTGCCTTGGCCACCACATATCTACCTGGGTGGAGGACGATGAGGCCTCCTAAGAAATGCCTCTCCAGGATCACATGCTCATGGCATTCAAAAAGAAAAACTGAAGAAGAAGGAAGAGACGCTAAGTTAGCAAAGACACTCAAGTCCACTCTAAACACCACCCCACAAGACCTAAACAATAAAAGTGAAAACAGAGCCTTGACAGCCTGTGGTTCTTTTGAGAGGGCACAGAATGTCTTACTTGTCGTTGGCATGTCAGCAGTGGTCCTCCCTGCTGGGCCTCTGGATTGCAGCAGAAAAGCCTCCCTGGGGCTTGACCCAGCCCAGGCCTGAGTAAAATGACTGTGGAAGGCACACACTTCACTTCTGAGGCTCATTTAAAGTCATCTGCCCATTGACTTGAACTGGTTCCAATTAAAGGAGTTTGGCTCAGTAATCGTCAGGTTTCAGTCAGATCAGAAAATAAACCATGAGAAAGATTTGGGCATTCCAGTCCCACCTGAAAGTAGGAAGTACAGAGATTTGAAAACTCCACATAAATTAGAAGGCATGACTAAGAGACACTGAAAGAGGATGCGAGTGTTGATGGCAGCTGAACAGACAGTCACTGTCCCACACAGAGGTGGGCTGCCCACCTCACCCCGCCAGCCCTGCCTTCCCTGGCTGGTCCCTGTGTGCCCCCATTCCTACAGCACTGTCTCAGAAGTCTGTTTAAGGTGCCATCTCCACGTCTTCCCACCCACCACACCTATAGGTTATGTCTTGGTGAACATGTCTTTGAATAATACAAACAATAAAAATGCTTAAATTAGATGTCTGATTAAAGTGATGTTTTGCCACTCTTTTAAAACCACAATGATATGAGTGACTAGACTTCTCCCTTCCCTGATTTATAGCCAGTCTGCTCAGCACATCAAAAATCCCCTTAATTTTTAGATCTTTACGTAAAGTGTGGGGGAGAAAATAGATCCAGTAAAGCCTACACAGGGAAGCTTCAAGAAAAAGGAAAAGAAAAAAAAAAAAAAAGAAAAAGCCTCCACTTACTAATTATCTCATATATATTTGAGGAAAACTTGATACTTTCACTTTATATGACTGTATCAGAATTCCAGTGTAGCTCAGAAAAAATGTCATGATTTTTTTTTCCCCTTCATGACTTAACAACCAAAAGGTTTAGTTTCCAGGTGGCCATTAGATACCACAACAAAGCCACAGTTAATCAAACTATCAGTTTACAAAATATGTAGAAAACTCAATGAGAGGGTTGCTATAGGATTTCTGCTATTAATACCTCACCACCACCATTCTACATGTACTGACTACTGTTTGCCAGTGTTCATCTGTGAACAGTCTTCTTTAAAGTTTTCCTTCCACACAGGCAATGAGTTGTGAGGTGGTGTATTCTTTCAGTCACACTGACCACACTCTGAGGTGGGCATCACTAATATCGTAACTTTTAGAGATAAAAAGACAAAGGCTCAGAGGGGTTATGGATCTTGCTAAGTCACACAGTAAGAAAGATGTGGAGTTGGGCTCCTGTTGGGTCTGGTGTTCATTTCTACCCTCCAGAACTGTGTCCCTGGCCTTAAATCCCAGCCTCTGGGTCAGTCTTTCATTTGCCCGCTTTCTCTATTTCTCCCTCACTAGGACCACCAAACTAATCAGACCCAATCTTCTTTGCTTCCAGCAGTTGTGTTTCAGCAAAGAAGCAAAGATGCTTTTCTTGGGCACTGTGGGGCTTCCGACACTCTCCCCTGGGCCAGGGTGTGGTGAAATTCTCTCCCCAGCTTGGGTGGCAGGACAGGCTGCCACATGGTGTGTTGGCTGCTCCAGCCCAGGCAGTGTGCGTTGAGGGCTTGTGTGGGAAGGTTCAGGAAGCTTCACAAACAAGGAACCAGGATCTCCAACAGGCTTTCAGTCCTGGCTGTGTTTCAGATCTGAGAAATGTTTTGGTAAATCTGCTTTTATGTTAAAGATAAAACAAAACCCTAGGGTTTTCCTGGAAAATTGTTCAATGCAATTCTATGGATACTCAGAACCTGGGCTTGCTCTGGAGGAAGGAGTATAAGGGAACATGGAATTCAACCTTTAATTAGGAAATGTGTTAAGAAAGGTTATTATGGAATAAATTCATATTGTGATTCACTTTTTTCTTAAATCTAGCCATAACCCAATCTGTCCCAATTCAGCCCCTGTAACAGTTATTTCTGAGGCTGAGCCCTGGGAAGTCACGTGTGTTATGCTCTACTCCAGCTTGCCTGGGCCCAATGGCAGGGACCCCAGAACCCGAAGGTGCTGACAAGGATGACTTGCTGCTGCTGAACGAGATCTTCAATGCATCCTCCCTGGAAGAAGGCGAGTTCAGCCAGGAGTGGGCGGCTGTGTTTGGAGACAATAGGCTGAAGGACCCAGCACCATCGGGGTCCCTGGGAGAGCCAGACTCCAAGCCTCAGACAGGCTCTGGATTCCTTCCTTCACAGCTTTTAGACCAAAATATGAAAGACTTACAGGCCTCACTACAAGGTATGTACCACTATAATTGAAATTAGTTTTTTACTTGTTCATTCTTTGCTTTCTCCTTTTAATCCAAAGGCATATTCATTCTTTCTTTGAATTTGCTGTGTGGGCATATTTTCTGCTTTGTTTTGTTTTTTTATTTTATATCCAGTGTCTTGTCTTTGTTTCGTTTTTAGTTTTTGTATTTTAATTTTATATCTACCGACATTTTTTTTAATCTGAAGTTCCTAAATTACATTCCAACCTTAAGATGTGTTACAAGGTTTAAGATCCATTTCTGCTCATAATTTTCTCCTACGTTAACATGTCTTATTAGGAAACTATTAGAGGGTCAGTTCTCTATCTTCTTGTCATACTTCGATTTAAGGGGTTTTTTTTCGTGGCACATAGGAGAGGATGTGGCCGTCTGTTGTCTTGGCCTATTCTGCCTGGCCACCAGCCTGAGTTTAATGTGTATTCATGAGGCAAATGTGTTAGTCAGCTAACCTCTCTGTGACCAAAATACCTGAAATGAGTGACTTAAAGGAATAAAAATTTATTTTGGCTCATGGTCTCAGCCCCTGGTTGGCTGGTTCCTTTGCTTTGGGCCTGGGGCAAGGCAAAACACCCTGGTGGAAGGATGTGGCACAGAGCAAAGCTGGGGAAGCAGAGAGAGTGAGAAGAGACTGGGAAAGATGTAGGAGTGGGCATGTCCCTCAAGGACCCACTCCTACCATTAGGTCCCACCTCCTTCAGCTCCCAATAAGGACTTCAAATTATAAATCCACTCGTGAGATCATAGTCCTCGGTTCATTCACTTCCCAGGAGTCCCTCCTGGGAACACTGCTGCACTGGGGACAGAACCTTCAACAGGTTGTCCGAGCCTTTGTGAGGTCTTCCAGATCTGCACCATAACAGCAGAAGTCCCCCACTTTCCCATAAACATGCCCTTTTGCGGGGTGAGCTGATTGACATTTCACTGGGCCTTTTAACTTCTCGTCCATCTAAGTTTTGTCTCCTGCTGGCTCTTGCTCTCTTCTCTGTCATAAGCCTCCCCTGTCCTCAGTGCTCCCTCAGCCCAGCTGCTCCGATTTCGCCTGAGATACATGGACAATGAATTTCCACCCACAGCTTCAGCAAAAATAAGAGTTCCCACCATGATCAAAAGTAGTCTGCAACCCTGGGAAGGGTTCAAGGTGTGTGAAGGCTCCCTAGCAGGCTATGTGCTGGCTGAGGATGGCTGGCATGTCCTCACAGTGATTTAAAGTTACAAATACAAAAACTCTGATGGAAATCTTAAAGCTTTGCGTTTCTAAATAGACCTTGAAAAGGAAACCATTTTCAATATTTTTTCCCTCTTTTTATAATGATATTAATTATGAGACAGGAATTATCATGAAGAAATTCTTGAGTTGTTTTGGTTTTTCTACAAATTTAGACTATCTCCTTCATAAACAACGTGTTTATCTGGCGCTTAAAGCTGAGAACAAACAGCAGAGCTAGAATGATTAAGTAATTATGGTCTATTAAAATCTCAGGTCTTTAGAGATGAGATCATGGATACTAGAGTTGGTGGGCAAGACCAAAAAAAGAAAAAGGAAAGAAAGGGCTTCCCTCTTTTTGATGAAATACTTGATTCCTTTTCTCTTCACTGGGGGGTCCTGTTTTATAGCCCTCTCATTGATGAGTGGTAATGGGGATAGAGATTACAGGGATAAATGAAATCCCAAAGTGCTTCTCCACCTGAGTTTCATCCCTGGGTTTTCACCATCTCTCACTAAAGCTCCGGAGAGCAAGCTGCCAACTGACTTGGTTTCACCCCCACCCACCTGTGGCAGAGGTGCTAACAGGCGTGGGAGAGTCAGAAGGCCAGAGCCCGGGATCCTCAGCCCATATCTTTGGGGTGCTGAAAATTCTCTAGCTGTGTTGTAGAATGAACCTCACTTAGGCCCCCAGCTTTAGGGCCCCAGATACAAGAGCCCTAGTGCAGAAGAGAGCGGTGGTGGATGAGTGTCCAGTGCTGTGAGCCCCACACCCCCTTCCTGAGCAGGCACAGAGAAAAGAACTCAGCTCACAACCCGCCAAGAAGCTAAGACAAGGGCAGTGGCATGGGGCTTGGCTTTGCACCTCAACCTGGCTKCATGTCCAAAAGAGAGCCAGCAAATCACCTGTGGGGCAAAAGAGGGAGGTGCTCTGACAGCAAGAGAAAGATAAAGATGCAAGCTCTTCTAAAATGAAAAGAGAAAGAGGTTCTACGTGGAAGGCCATTTGTTTCTCCAACAAAGCCTCATTTGTGGTTGCTATCCTACCAGCACCCTAGCAAGTGGCTTATTCATTAACAAATATTTATTGGGTACCTGGGTGTGCTGGACACTGGGGACTCATCTGAGAACAAAACAGACAAAGCTCTCTGCCTTCCTGGCACTCACGGTCTCATRAGGAGGAAAATAGTGAACAATAAACGTAATAAACAAACAAATCACMTAGTTAAGAAGTGATCGAGGTTAGGGAGAAAAGAGAAAGTGAAAGATGAGATCCAGACAAAGACTTGCAGGGGGTAAGAGTTAGCCACATGGACAGATGGACAGAGGGGACAACCTGTACTCATGCCCTAAGGTGAGGACATGCTGCATAATCAAGGTGCAGGCAGAACACTCTGGTTGGAGCCTACTGAGTAAGTGCGGTGGGGGGGGGGGTGCGCTCAGAGGACTCGGAGGCTAAACCACGAAAGCTGAGCTGTGGAGGGTCTTGTAGCTATTGGTAAATATTGGACCTTCTTCAAGTCCAAATGAAATTGGGAACCAGCACAATATCTTCAGCCAAGAACTGAAGTGATTTTTGTTTACTGTTTAAAAGGATCATTTTAACTGCTGAAAGTTTCCTTTTCTCAGTTCTATCAAGGTCAGCGTTAAAGGAGTTATCTTATAATTATTGAGTGATCCTGTTTCCTGTGCAAACAAACATCTTCCCATTGAATACCTGTGGGACTCAAAATGAGAGAAAAAAAAAATGCCATAGCTAAGTGGTTGAAAGCAGCCCCTTCAGCTTCTACCACCCATCTAGATTCCTGCAGGTGCAGCCCTGATTCTACTCTGACACTGCCCTGATGCAGGGAACCTTCAAAACGTGTGTGGTACAAATAAAGAAGGGGCTCCCTGCTTCAGTGATTGATTATGTCATCAGACTATAACCATGTTCTGTGCTTCTGTCAGGACTCCTCCCACCTCCAAAGGAGGGAAGATGAATGTTGTCTTGAGATTTTTCTACACTATGTTCATGATCCAAAAATCCATCTACAGGAACATATGAACAGTCACATATATAACAATTTAATGATAACTATTAAACTGTGGCCACCTTATATTGAAACTGCTTCCCCTGATTAACCAGATCATCTCAAAAACCAAAGTCAACAAACCCCTGAAATGACTCAGTGGCAAACTGAACACGGGAGAAAGGCTTGTTGGCATATCGGTTCAGTGAAACCAAGAATATGGCAGGGCATTCAGAGGCCAGTTTCATACTGCACAGCCCCTCCCCTGCAGCACTGCTCAGGCCCCTACCACTCTCTGAGTCCTTCCCTTCTCATCTGTAAAAGGAGTTATCAGGCTCAGCTTCTCATCCCTGTAGCATGTTCCTATCCACGGATTAACCCCGTGTCAGTGATGCTGAGGACTGACGATTAGCATGCAGTTCTGTGACTCTACCATCTGTAGATGGTAAGATAACGTTAGCCAGTGCTCAAGACGGCACACATTGTGGCCAAGAACTATCCCATGTGCTTTTTTTTTTTTTAATAGTTTTTTAGTTGTCAATGGATCTTTTACTTATTTACATGAGGATTGAACCCAGGGCCTCACACATGCCAGGCAAGCACTCTACCGCTGAGCCACAACTCCAGCCTCTCCATGTGCTTTTTACATGTGTCAATTTATTTAATCCTCACCATGCCCTTCCCAAGCAGGTGTTATCATCTCTGCATGTTAATCAGGGACATTGAGGAAACTAATGGCTAAGCCATTGGCCCAAGGTTACACAYGCAACTTTGGTAGGGGCAGCTGGACTTCAAATCCAGGCTTCTGACTCAGGAACCCATCCATGCCCTTCTCCAGTCCCTCCGTGGCCACTCAGTCCAGTGCGTCTGATTTCAGCAGTGGCTCCCCAGCTGGGCCCTTCAGGCAGCTCCTTGGATCCTCCCAGAGGATCTTGCAATGAACAGCCTGGCTGTGGGCATCCTGGATGCACATGGGCATGGGAACTCCCAGGTAGCCAAAAAGGGATATGGGAATAGAGAGACAGGATTCCTGGCCACACAAAAGCTGAACGTAAGTTCTCGGATAGCATATTGAAGTTGGATTGTCCAAGGAAGTGTTTATGGCTTGTACACCCATGCACAGCTTCCCGGAGGGGCTGGGGCCACGCTCAGGCTCAGGGAGTCAGGGGTCTGTCAGAGGTGGAGGGCTCCTGCACCTCCATGGGTTCTTAGCCCCTGCCACAGCCTACGTCCCCCTCTCCCTCCTCCTCTTCCTCCCTCTCCTCAGTCTTTCATCTCACCTGAGTCTCCTCTGCCCACCCTCCCCTCTTCTTTGACCTCTTTCCTCATTCTGTTCCCCAGCCTTCTGGGAAGATGCAAAGGAAAAGGGATTTAGGAGGAGAAGAGTTACTCCTCCCTTCCCTCCTACTCCACGCTCTAGGAGTCCAACACAAAGGAATACATGTCAGACCAAGTTGTGCTGAGAACTTGAAGAAGTTAATTTTAGCTGAGATTTCTAAGAGTTTCTGAAGTGTTGTCAGCATGATAGGGGCTGGGGTTTCCTGTGTCATGCAGTAATGAGAAAATTGGGCCTTTCTGGGGCCTCTTAAAGTGAGTAGGAARGAGAGCCGGTCCAGACAGACTAGGCAAGGTACGGAGAACTCATATTCTTCGACCTTCTCAATTTTCCACCAATATCTAAAATTTAATTTAGAAGTAGACTTTGATACTAGAAAGATTACCAGCTGCTCAAAATAAATGCACCAGGAAATCT